TTAAAGCAAAGCTGAGTATTTTCAGCCACTTGGAAATAATCCTCCCTTGTTACTTTTCTGTATGGTATTTGCTAATTCAAAAATTAAGTGAAAGTTAACTGAAGTGTCAGAAAGGGAGGTAAAAAAGGTCTGTCATATATTTCTGGATTACAGTATTCTGAGACATATACATTAGTTATTTAAAAGTTAGTGGGATGCAACCATTCCAGATTCTAAAGGCATTAGCCACAGACTTTTACTTAATTTCAGTTAAAGGTGCACACTCAACTCCCTCACATTTGAAAAGTCCAGTCTAAGTCATGTGTCACGTGTCATAAAAGGGAATTGCAGCCTTGATAACAATGAAAGATTAAATGTAGAAGACTAAAAACATAATTCCACACATGGGTGATATTTTTCATCTGAAATCATGATTTCAAGCTTTAACAACCTCTACTCCTTCCACATTTTTTTCCTCCATATTTTGCTTTCTAAAAGCAACTGCAACATTTGATAAAATACAGGTACTTAGTCATAATAGTCAAGCTTCCTTTTAGTTTCCCCCTTTTTATACGATTATGTTTAAGTCATTTCTGAGTCCACAAACATGAAAGGAGACCATTATCATTTTTTGGTTAGGACTTCTTTTAAAAAAATGTGGAGTAAGAGGCAAATACTAGCAAACAACTTCAAAAAGAACTAACAAGTCAAGGTATCTCACCAAGTATATTTGAAAAAATACTGACAGTAAAACTTGTCAGCAAGACGCTGTAACTGTCCAAACTCGAACAAGTTAGTTACCACTCCATATGAATTTTCTTGTCTACAAAATACGTATATGTTACTTGGTGCCTTTATAAATGTGCTTTTTAAGTACAGTGCTTGAAATATAAGCCTAAATTCCACAGCAGCATAAACTAACCTGAGTATAAACCAGTGTAGGTCAGCAATATTACAGTCCCACACTTCTTTGTCTCCCGTTCCTTTCCCTGCACTGCCACTGGCATTCCTATGATCTTGCAATAAAGACTGGTCAGAGAACTAAACCTTCAGAAAACTAATCCTAAAAATTGTACAGCTTTCCTCCCACTTTGATCCTTGAACCAGATCTCTTAAGAGAAGTTCCAGTGCCAGGAAAATACAAGACTACTTACATAAGGAGCAGTACAGTACAGGATACCAAAATGATCATTTCTGCATACACAGATCTGAAGTTAGGGGTCATTTGTGTAACTCAGTTATATATATTCAACCTACAGGTGGCTCCATCAAGGCTATTAGATATTGCCAGTTTTTATGATTCATCATGTTATCAAGTTACGTTATCCTTACACAAGGTCAATCAGTTTTAAGGTTCCTCTCTTATCTAATCTGATCAAATATCCATGTTGGGGACTCTCCAACAACAGATTTTTTTCTCAGATAACCTGGCCATCTTTGGACTATCCAGCATGATGTATCTTTCTTGATAAGTATCTTTCTTGAGATGCAGCTTTTTTTAAGACACAGTATCTTCCTCATGTCTTTTCCAAATTTTGTTCAAGACAGCCTTAATATATTCTTGGTTATGCATTCATTCTTACTTCAGGGTTCCCAGATTTCTCAGGATCCCTGGAAAGTTCAAGTTATTTATCAATGGTAAAATAATACTTATATACATACATACACACATGCATTTCTGTATATATAGATTTATGCACAATATCTAACTACTTGCCGGCAACATTTTCACTTTCAACTACTGTAACACTGTCATAATGAGCTATCAAACTTGTTTAATTAGACACATTTTGCTTATCTTCAGACTACAATAAGTCTTTGTTCTGCTCTGCCATCCCACTGAAAGAGCAGCTATGACTGACAGAGATGGCCACATCCCTGAGCAGTTCTTACCCATGAGTAGCAAAACACATAACCCGTATTTGGCCTGCTCAACATCTATTGAAAAAAGCGTCCCCAACACAACCAGAAATTTTCGCAACTGTTGGTAGCCTGCTGTGTTTCCCTTCCAGCAGATACTGGGATGTCTGAACTCTGCCTCAAACTATTAGAACAAGCACCGCAAAAGGAAAAAAGTGAACAGTCACAAGATGCAACATAGTAAATTCCAATTGGATAGAAGGAAAAACATTTTCACTGTGATGTTGTTTATCACCAGAACAAGCTGTCCAGGAAAGTTGGTAATCTACAGCCTTTGCAATACTGAAAATTCAACCGGACAATACCCTGAGCATCCTGATCCAACTTCAAAGGTAGCTCTGCCTTCAGCAGAAGAGTGGACTAGGAAATCCCCAAAGGTCCCTTCCAACCTAAATTATTTCAAATGGATGTGTAATCCAACCTGCTGCCCTAAGGACAATATAGAATACCTATATTATTCTCAACAGATGTTTAACTGATATGTCATCAAAGACCTTAACCTTTTGAAGGGCTAGCAGATTTTGTGATCTCCACCAGTTCTTCTCCAGCTTCACTATAACACTGTACCCGTTTTTGGCTTCAGATTCACTACAACCACCCATCTTTTTTTCTTGAATTTCAATAATATGTATTCCTTCTATAGAATCTGTGCCATTAATTATTTGTTCCCAAGCAAAATTCCTTACATTTGTCCGTACTGTTGTATTGAATCTCATTTTTTTTCTAATTTGAAGAGATCATTAAACCCTGGTATCCAACTCATTGTATAACCTCTACCTAGCTTCAATTCATCTACATATATTATAATCATATTCTTAACTGTAACATTCAAGTTATGAATTATTAACTATACCGATCCATTTTTTACAGTCATTTCAAAGATTGTTTTTTTAGAATACATATGTTTTCTTGTAAAAATCACCATGATACAAATCACTACTTGCCTGTTACTTGCATCTGTAATCTTCCATTATGGTTGTTACTTGTATCAGATCTTGGTGAGGCTGTGGCCATGACAGAGGTTTAGGCTTTAGCCTTAAAAAAAAAAGCACACAGGCAACTTACTAAAAAGTACTTAGCTCTGCATGTTAGTTTCAACTATTAAATAAAATGCTCACCTAATCAGCAAGTTACCAAATGTTAGTTAAGTATGGCAGAACGCATTATTTTGTAACACCAGTTTAAAAAACACAATTACTTTGGAAATTTGTCCCACGTTACCTTTGAGGATGCCAAGACACTTCAGTAACGCATACATCTACATAGTTTAGAGCAACTATGTAAGGCAAGGAAAAAAATTCAGCTGTGATATATCAGTATTCCTGTCTCCAGAAGGCATGCTTATGGTCTGATTTCAGAAGAGCTAAGCACTAATGACTTCAAATGAACAAAACATCTGAAAAGTTTATGTGCTTGAAAATCAAGCTGTCTCCAGAAGGATACACTCAAGCAATAACACAAGTGATTCAGACAACAAACGTTTGAATTCTATCCCTAGATTTGCAATCAGTTTTCTATACCACTGCTGTCAACCCACAAATCACTTCCCTCATCTACTGAAACACTAAGCACTTTACAAGGACCACCCCATCTTATCATTCAGCGACTAAAATAGCGTAGCTCTGATCTTAGCATGAGCGTCCCAGCACTTGAAGCACACACAGACAACATCACTCCCGTCCTCCTGAATTACTACACCTGAAACAAAGCTGGAAGTAAAATATTTTCTATTAGACAAGTAATTTTCATGAGAAAAGAATACACACATTTAAGATACACTTTCCACGATCTGGATGAACTTCCATATATTTATCTCTGTGAACATTAACTGGTATCATTAATATGGGAACAGTTGTCACCAAACCTTTTTGATTGTGCACTTCTACCAGTAAAAAATTTTTGAACACGCACCCCAAGTATGTGTGTATTTATTTATAAATTAGATATAGGCACTACTGCACCAATATATTCTGTACATTATAAAGCATATAAAAACAGAAATCAAAAAGGATGAGATAAAGATGAAGTAAACAGTATTTTTAAATAATTTTATTATTAATGGTACAAAACCCCTTTTTGCTCTCTAAAAAAAATATTAATTTTTTGAGAGCGCCATGTGATTGAATATCCTTCATGATTTTTTAAAATGTTGCCTCAACACTTTGCAATACAGTGATTTGAAGGTCTAGTTCTAAATTCAGTTTATTTCAATACTTGGTTTTAATGGCTGCCATAGCTGGAAAAGACAATTTACAAAGATATGTACATCCAAATGAAAGTGAATCACAGGCTGCATTTACTAAATCATGATACTCATTTTTCATTGTCACTAATTATATAAAGGTTTTTCTTCAAATTTGACGAGTAAATTTCCATCTTCCCTGATATCAATTAGTTGTTATTGCAAACTAAGGGAAGGTGTTGCATTTTCATATTTTTAAAAAATGGGTTCAAAACCCTCTGAAACTCTTCATTTGGAAGACTTTTAAACAGGTGAGGAAATTCTGTTTCCAAGTTTAAGTGTACAGATATGAGAGGTTTTATAGAAGACACATCTTTTCTGGCAACAAAAACACACAATGATGGAAACATTTCCAAATATCCGTTTTCAAAATGCTCTCTCCATAGCACGAGTTTCTTTCAAAAAGCAGTGACCTTGCTCATTGTTAAAACATCACCTTCACCTTGAAGGGACACGTTAAATGTCTTAATTTTTTTGAAAATATCTGTTAGTCAGCAGTATGTCACCTGTCATCAAAGAACAGGTCACCAAATTCAGAACACTCATCTTAAATGCGTAATTAATCTTTTAAGTTTTACAGCTCTCCTAAGCACTTTGCCGTGATAACCAGCGAGCCTCTGTATGGTACAAAAGATTTCCCTGGTCACTCCCCATGTCATTACAAATTATTGTAAAGATTCTACTATTTAAAGGTCTTGTTTTCAGACAATTAACCACAATGATGACATCCTGCAGCACTTTGTGCATTTCTGGCTCCAACTTCCTTGCTGCTTGCCTATGCATGCTGCAGTGAATGAATTCCATGTGTGGTGTTCTCCTTGTAACCTTACCCCAGAACCTTTTTTCCTTCAGTCAAAGCAGCCACCTCCATCAGTGGTTACATTTGCACAGTTTTTCCATTAAAAAAAATGTTGTTATAAAAGAAATCATTTACTGTTAAGAATGTATCTTCTCTGGTACATCTTTCCTTAGCGTCTTAGTTCTTTGTGTATTTCATTAACAACACTGAATCCAGCAACTACCATAAGTTGAGCCACCTTACAAACACCTATACTTCCATCCAACTGTGTAGCAAGCCTCCCACACTGTGTAATTTTTTGTAACATTTGTTTCTTCAAATCTTTGACAATGTTTTCCAGACATCTTCCAATAGTACCTGCTGACAAAGGCATGCATTTTAGTTTGTCACCGTATTGTTTTCCATGTATTATTTCAGATATTTTTACTGCAGCTGGAAGATCAAGTGTTTCCCCAATGGTACATGGCTTCCATGTCTTTTGCTATCAAGAAACCTCAAAAGAGGCTTCTAAAGATCTATCATTAAGTTTAGTGAAATCTTGTAAAGTACTGGACTGAGTATCACAGACTTCAAACATTGCTGAAAAAATTGTAGAGGTTTGTCTTCATGTTCTGGATAATTAGTTTTTAAATGCCTTGCTAATGGTGATGGCTTCATACCATCATCAGCTGATATCTCAAGGTACAATATTCTCTTAGGGTGAGGTTCATCATTAACGATAGTGGATGTACATCCGTATTTCAAATAGCCGCCTTGATAAACCCAAATTTTTTTTGCCAACATCTTGTCAGATCTAATTGCCATTGTTTTTACCTCACAATGCGGCTGACCAGGAGCTCAGACTAGAAGTAGGAGAAGCGTCAACTTTGCCATGTTCTTATTGTTCACTTGTGCTCTCATTATTAGTATTACCTTCAATCCATGGTCTCTTTGTAGGAATTTTTTTAAGCCACTTGCCCATTTTGTGAGGGTTAGTTTAGTTAAAACTAGATAATATAATCCATAAATCCACCTAACTGGGCACACATAAACTGTATACATTGCAATACACCAAAACCAAGATTTGCAATCTAGTTCTAATCATACGTTAAAAAATCAGTATAGCCATACTTTTGTAACTGAGAAATGATGATTATTTTTACTGGGGTTTTTTCCTCCTACTGTTCAACCTGCATAGATCTAAAATGCTAGGGGGGTTGGGGGGTTTTATTTGGTTGGGTGGGTGGGGTTTGTGGGTTTTTTTAACTCCACTGCTAGCATGCACAAAGTAAAATAAATACAGAAATAAAGAAATAAACTATGTCCAAGTCCTCAAGTAGACAGTTCATTGCCTAATCTCCTCAGGTTTCAGGTGCTGATCTATTTGCAAGGCATACCACCTGTCCTAACCTGAGTTTCCGGCTCTGCTTGCTAAGCTGCTAACTGCATTTGGCAAACGCGTGTTTGCCAATCTCCTGATAGCAGGGAGGTGAGAATTCACTACACTTAGCTTTGCATTTTTCCCCTTGAAGGAGAAAATGACCGTGATGCCTGCAAGAAATTATTACAATGCCAGGGAGATCCCAACAGAGGATGGATATGAAATAAAGTTAGGCTTGGAGTTGGCTGAGGGGCTGCACGTTTCTGCGATAACTACATAACCGCATCCCACATCAACAGTGCCCGTGTAAAATTAACATCCTTCCTGTAATAGAAGTCGATCTTATATTCTTGTCAATACAGTACACCGAGATACATTTACACAGCAATGATTACAGTTCCAAATTTTTATCATGTTGTAAACAAAATACTGCATTAACATGTATATCAAATACTACTTAGAAAAACAAATTAAAATATATGGAAATGCAAAAATCCATTTCAAGTTTTTTAAAGAAGTATAGCTTTTTATCAACAACACATGAAGAAAGCATGATGTCATATCTTATATACAAAAGGGCTTTACTGAACAGAGCAAATTAGTTGAACTGACTGATTCTGGTCTCATCATGTTCCAAAGATTCCAAAGCTGCAGCCCCCCTCATCCTTTTTTAATTGATTAGGAATGAAGAACTGGTTAGGAATTAAAGGGCAAGGAAACATTAAATTTTCTCTGAGTCAAAAGAAGAAAACTAATCAATTGTTTTTCCCAGTAACTTCTTTTTCAGGAATATGTCAAAAAATCTATTTGAGGCTTCAGCCATCAGTTATTCTCATCAGTAACTATCCAAATTCAGCTACTGACATTTTTTAACGAAGTTAACAGATTATTGTCTAATCAGCTCTGGTGCAGGTCGGTTCTCCTGGGAGAAGAGAGAGCCTGCTCACATCATGAAGTTTGTAATTTTCATTCAAAATCCAAAAAGCTACTCTTACCCTATTATTGAAAAAACAAACAAACAAAAGTCTTCACTGCCTGATGTACACTGGGTCACACTCCCTCCTAGTCAAACACATCATTCTTCCAGGTAAACAAAGCCTTCAGGAAGAAAATTCGGCCAAGTTACATTGTATAAGATGAATGATCTTATGTAGAGATTGGACACCTATTACTCCCTGAAGGCCGGTCTGGATATATGACAAATGCTGCTGCACAATCCAAGAAGGGAAGCCTAGCCCAAAACTTAGCCCCCCAGCCTTTGATAGGAAAATTACTACCATGATACAGCCATGCGGGGAAAGGGGGAATGGGACACAAGACAACCACCCTATTTATCACATGAAATGTTTGCGGTAGTGGTAGAAATAGTATCAGTGACATCGTGTTAGATACTAGCACTGATTGGCATATTCAAGAAAAGGACAGGACATGAAGACCACTACTGGGAGAATAAAGACAATGAAAGAGCAGTCTAAAAATAATAAAGACTGGAAGTAAACCTGCTCATCATCTATAAATACATCAGGAACGTGTAGAAAACAAAAATAAAGGCTACTGAATTAAAATAATAGTGTTGACATAAATGTTTCCAAAAACCTCAGGTTTCTGGGAGGCAAGGTTGCAGCAGAGAGAGCAA